TAGAATCACACAATACCAACGTCATTTACAAAATAACATGCAATAACTGCCCAGAATTCTACATTGGAGAAACAAGAAGAAAATTGGAAACAAGATTCACACAACACAATAAAAAAAACGTACCCATGTTTTCCACCATTGCAACTCAAAAAACCATAGTATATCTATTAAAAACACAGTAATTTTAAACAAAGAACCAAACATAAACAAACGAAAAATCAAGGAATCCATCTTAATTGAACAAAACAACCCTACTCTAAACCAACACCCTGGGGTGCCAAGATATCTATTCTAAGTCGTGCAACAGTATCCGGTCATGTGACCTCTTTGTTCTATATTGTGTGTATATATATATATATATATGTGTGTGTCAGTGTAAACTACTTGTACCTGATGATGACAAAACCTTGTTGAAACATTGTACATTTACCGTTACGTTAAACTTATATTAAAGTTTTTCTTCATTACCCATTCAAGCCATCTCCAAGCATTATTAGTCTTAAAATGGGTTCCTCGCATCAAATTTGAATTCATCATGGCAATTAATCGAGGTTGTGTAAGTCTAAATGTTTATATTTGTTATTCCATGTATAACTTTCTAAGTATGTTCTCTCACCTATCCACCATCATAAACCAATCATACTGTGAAACTATCTTTAAACTTTGTAACCTGAATATAAAAATCATCAAAAGGAGAAATGATATTTCCTTCTTCAGACAGTGCCACTCTGAAAAGCTAATTCCAAAATTTGTGAAGGTCAAGTTATCGAGAAACTTAAACCAGTTTTCAGGTATTATCTGGACTACTTACAAAAACTCAAACAGAAATTAGACCACCAACTAGCCTGCTACCTCAAACCAGATGATTATGGCAATATACAATGCGCTATCAACCAAAACAACTCATTTTGAATCAAGAAAAGAAGTTCATACACAATAAGAAACTAGATCAACTAAGGAAGCTACAACAACTTGAAGTGAAACTCAACAATGCAGCTCAGCCTAACCTTGTAATCAACAGATCTGACTGGACACTCAACGACACAGAACTTCAACTTCTAAACAAAGGCCTCAACTTTGCCATCAACCACAAAACAACTCCATGCATAGAAGATCTAGCCAGAAGATTAGTGACTCACTACATACAAGAACAAAAGATCACCTCTACCTCAAACATCCCCCAACTACAGAAAGAAGAAATCCATGACATCATCCAACAGACTGTTATTACAGGCAACTACAACAAAATGTGGTTTCCCGAATTTTCCCAAAACTGTATTTTAAATAACTTTTTAAAAGAATTCTCAAACAATACTATTAATATAGTCAACCAATCCTGTAAACTGAAAAGTAACCTCACAAGTAATGAGATCAAATCCATTTATAATCTGAAAAAAGACACTAACATTAAAATGACACAACCTTGTTGAAACGTTGTATATTTACTGTTATGTTAGACTTGTATTAGTTTTTCTTCATTACCCATTCAAGCCGTCTCCAAGCATTATATATATATATATATATATATATATGTATAATGTTATGAGATTTAAGCTATTTAGACTCAACATTTGTGGTTTTATGTTGTAATTTGTAATCATTCTAGAATGAAAAAAATGTAATTTACATCTATTTCCTTATTTTTTATGTTGGTTACGAGGTAAGTCAAATTGACCAAACTCATGCAGAGACACTGTATTGAAAATAACAGATAAAATATAAAGTGTTTTCTCAAGAAAACGTTTGATAATTAACTTTGGAGTTATGAAGGTTTCGCCTATGAAATTTGACAATTTTCTGATGCATAAAAGTATTTTTAATCTTAAAATCAAAATTGCTTTGCATGTTGGATAGTTCAACATTCGAAAAGAAAAAAAATGCATGAGCAAATCATTACTTAAAAAATCTTAAACTTAATAAAAAAATTTATATCTTTTTTAGTAATGCTTATGTACAAGGCAACCAAACTGTGAAAGAATGGACCAAAGGTGTAACATCTTTTGGTGAAACTTTTGACAGCTCTAGGACATTTACAGTAATTTCACAGATCACAATTTTCAGGATTTCCTTCTTACCTTCAAAAGATGGGACCAGGAGAGAATGGTCCAAAAACGTAAGCATGGGAACTGGAGAAACATCTAAATGAGGAAGTTGTTGGTTAATGGACTGTTAACTAAGTGCTCTAGTTCCATTCTTAGTGTATTTTTGAATCCTTTTTCTCTTTCTTTGTTTCTAACAAGCAATTGAGATTAGAGCATTTTTCAAATGAGTAAATCTTGTCACATCATCTGGAAAGCCCATCTGAATATGCCGTTTCAAGCCAGAGTGATGCTCCTTTATTTTACAAATGCTTGTAGTGCAGTGGTTAAATATGGCAGTCATGCTGTCCATGTTTTGCAAGTTCATATGCACTTCAGTCATCATGATTGAATTGCAGCTTGAACTTCCACTACAGAAGTTGATGTTTATATTGTTTGGTAATTAAGCATCTGTAGCCTGGAGATTATTTCACTCAGTTGTTTTTGTGATTGTAGGCTACCCTCTTCTCTTACTTTCAGGGAAGTAATATAACATTTCTCCTTTTCTGACATTGCTTACATTAGTATCTACTATTAACAGGGCTTTTTGGATTTGGGGCCTGTGATGGACTTAATATCAATGTAGAGTTGCATTTATTCTGTGTACTCAAACCATGCATCAAGTGTTGATAGTCTAGTGAGAACATAAACCATTGAGGGAAACACTGGAATGAACCTTTCATAGTATGGACAAATCAACAAGAAGCTCCTCACTCCCTTCTTGAAGCTGACCCTGTTATAACCCTTAACTGCCATAATCTTGAAAGGTTCATTGGTAATGCTCTTTTTATAGACACTAACTCCATGTCCCCAAAAGTTGGCATTTGTTTGCTTTGAAGAACAATTTAACTTTAACCTGCTTTCTTTAACTGATTTAACACTATCTCCAAATTTCCCATGATGTGTTAGAACATTTTGCAGAATTAAGATAAGCTTGAATATAAAATCCATGTGGAATGCAAATGATTTTCTTTCTTTTTTTCAGAGTGACCACTCAAGATAACCAAGCACATTTGTATTGCATCATGCTGTCCTTATAATTTTTCCATTCCCTTGATGGTCCATACTAGCTGTCTAGATGGCTGTTTGATTAGTTGAGTCTTTCCAATGTCAGTGTAATGCCATTTGAGGTTGATTTATTTGAGACATTAATCTAGGTCAACAAAAGTATTTTGATGCTTTTCTAGGAGTTAAATAAGTATGTTTGTTTTGATACATTCCTTCTCTTGAGCTCAAACCAGTAGTCCATTTAATTTAACGTTTTGGTAATTTAATGAAGCACCAATATTTTACTTGTTGAAATTTTCATTCTTCTATGTTGTCTGAAATAAGCTTGATCTTTCTATTGATGATGGTGTGGGCATTTCCTTGTGCTAGTGTTTTGTTGAACCATGAATAAAATGGTGCTTATTCACGTAGGACTTTATAACCTAGATTCGTTGATGGTTTGTTATTTTCCTTTGTTTGGTGCTACCGCTTGAGAGCATGACTTATTTCCCCTTTAGTCTTGAGGCTCTAACCTTAATAGGAAAATTGATTTTATCCCTTTTAGAACTGTTGTTCTTTCCATCCTATTTTTTTTAATGTTTTTTCTTCCTGTAACTACATCATAGCATGTGCTTGGAGTGTAGTGTAGTGAGATAATCTAATAAAACATAATATCATAGAGCTTTAGGGTTGGTTGCCACCTGAACAACTCTAAAATAAGGAACATTTTTATTGAAGTGTAATAATTTTCAACAAGTTGGAAACTATAGTTTAAAATATAATATTGCACCATAGGCAAAATAAGGAATAAATCATAGTTTCATTTTTACCTCAAACAGAATGATACATTTTACTACTAAATAAGGAACAGTTTTATAAAATACATAACAATTGACAACCATGTAGATCTTTCACCACGTCATATTGTTGGCCAAAATGTGAATTTGTTGATAAGTGTGTTAATGTTTTAACAGTCTAAGCCAGTAAGATTACAGAAATGAGTAGAAAAGAGTGACGTATTTCTCTTTATCTACGCTGTTCAAGAGCTATAGAATGCAATGTGGTGTAGGGTTTTCAGTTAATCAGTGCCTGATTAGTTAAAGGTTAGTTTTACCACAATTTTTCATGCAGGTAATCAGTCTAGTTTGAAACTATCAGGTAGCTAATAATTATTTCTGAATTTTGTATGCATGTTTTTCTCTAGAGTAATTCTTTCTAGTTAATATATTTCTACTATAGTTGCAATTTCTGTCTCCTACTTCTGTTTTCCACCTGTTTCTCTTTCTAGAATGTTAAAAGTAGTTTTGCTTCTTAATGTTAAGATAAGGTATAGGTAGAACACATTAGTGACATTTGTTTATAAAATATTATGTCAGTTTTTGAGAATTTAGGTCCTTAAGAAGCTCAGTATTCAAGATATACTATTTTGGATTTGACAGTTGTTCTTTTTAGGAGTCTAAATACAATTTTACTAACAAAAAATACCATCAACACTGCAATTCATCCCTATAGCTACTTAGTGCTTCCCTATATATTTTAGTCAATTCTAGTATGTTGCCTTTGTTATTTTCTTTGTGTAAAGCTACACAGTGAGTTATCTGTACTCTGTCCACTGTGAGGAATTGTACTCTGAATTTTTTTGTTGTAAATCCATAAATTTATTGCTGACCCACCAGGGGACTACTCAGTTCTTTAAACATAGTGTTGTTACAGGCAAAACCTAAAATTACTCAATATTATGCAGTATGTGACCCCATAATTGAAAACTTGTGGGTTAAAGAATATATTTATACAAAGCAGCTAGCAGATATTGAAGTTTTTGTTTATTTTCACAGTATTTTAAAGATGATCAATAGAGTGTGTTTAGATAATATAGCAAACTACATTTTTACTCTTTCATAAAATTGTTTTATATATGCTGTGAACTACAACTAAGACTTCGTGCCTTGGAATTTTAAGTTATCCTTGAAATGAGGCATAGATATTCGAATTTGTGTAATGCATTAATTAAGCTATGCTAAATGCAGTTAATGGATTTTCATCATTTACTGTTATACTTCTAAACTCTAGCTTTACCAAATTACTAATATCACAATAAATATATTAGCATAAAAGCTACCCATTGATTTAATTTTTCAGTAATTTATAGATCTAAATATGAACTTGTAGGTTTGCTAATATCAAAACATGTATATCGATATAAAAAATCTACCCTTTAATATAACTTCTTCATAATACAAAACAAGTTTTTCCTTTCCAGAAAGTCATTTAGTGATACATCTGAAGGAATAACAGAATCACCCAGACAACTAAGTGGTATGTAATAATTATTTCATTTTATTTATTGCTATTTTAAGGAATATAAATTAAAGTTCTTAAACCAATAATGGAATGTTTTACTTGATTGCAAGAGATATTGAATGAAAAATCATGAAACAACTTGAGATATCTTTAGACTGTTGATTTTTTTAACTGATATAATTAAAGTATGAATGAGAAACGTTTAATTTCATTTTGTGTTTTTTAATTTTCGTTCATAAGCAGATTTCATTTTTAAAAACTTGCATACATCAAAATGTGAATTATGAAATAAAGTTTAGTAGTTTTGATTAAATTGGCATGAGAGTGGACATGCATGTATTTGAAAGCAACTTATAATGATTCTTAAAACTGTACAGCAAATGCCATAAAACAAAGTAGCCATAGGGAAAACATCTCTTTATTTAGATCTGAATGTGTGTGTATATATATATTCACTGAGAATAATAGTAATATTTAAAATTGATTTTTTAACTAGATTTATGAATTGCAAAATTAATTTGGGATTCACTGTAGTGTGTAAGGTATAGTTTTACGTTATAGACAAACTTGCTAAGTTCTATGTGAATACTGTGTTAATACATACATCTGCAAACATTTTAAGCATACGTATCATATTGTGCTGTTATTTAAACAAACTGTAATATGTCATGAAAATATTTTTATATTGTAAAAAACAAAAGGAACTTAATGGGCATCAAAATTTTTTACATATCTATTTTTATATAAAATTGGAATTCTCATGTGAACTAGTTACAGATAAGTATAGCAACTGCAATAGGAAGATCAACGTCAGAAAAGTTATGCAGAATTGATTTTGAATTTCTGACTGAGTTGAAGAAAGAAACTGAACACAATTCAAAACCAGCAAAACAAGAACATTTTATTTTATATGTAAGATACAATAAAAACAAATATAACTCAGTAAAAAGACATATTCATGGAACGAAAGACATAGACCCATTTCTCTAGATCTGAAGGAAGATCTCTTTGTAGGCAAATTCTGAATCAAACTGTGAGAGCTGATATAATATAGGGAAAATAATAGTATCATCTCTCCCATATGAAAATTGTGTAACAAAGATGATTATTACTAAAATTATAATATAATCATTAGTTTAGTTACTTATTAAGAAAAACGATAAATGGATGG